GGGATCAGCTCTACTTCGAAAGATCTCAGCTTCGCAATTGTCGATTTGATCCTTGTGAGGTAAGCTGCCATTGAAGGCTCTTTAGCCTCATACTCCCCCGGATCTGATTAGCGACCAGCTGAGAATCTGTCTTGAGGTAGACATGCTCGGCTTCCAACGATATGCACAGGTCTAAGCCAGCAATGGCTGCTTCATATTCGGCCTCGTTGTTAGAGGCTTTGAATGAAAATTTTAGTGCATACTCGAAGGTTTTGCCTTCGGGAGAGGTAATGACGACCCCTGCCCCCGAACCGTTCACGGTGGAGGACCCATCCGTGAAGACGGTCCAGATTTTCCTCCTTGCATCCAGAGTCTCCTGATAGGAGCACTCGGCCAAGAAGTCTGCCAAGGCTTGCGCCTTGATGGCTGTTCTCGGCTGATAACCGATACTGAACTCGGTGAGCTCGAAAGCCCACTTTGCTAGTCTACCGGATTTTTCAACCTTGCCGAGGACTTTCTCTAACGGCTGATCAGTTAGAACCGCTATTTGATGAGAATCAAAATAGGGTCGCAACTTCCGAGCAGCCACCACCACTGCATAAGCCACTTTTTCTAACAATGGGTAGCGCGTCTCGGCATCCGTCAGGGTGTGGCTGACGAAATAGATCGGCTGTTGAACTTTTTCTTCTTCCCTTAGCAGCACCGCGCTTACCGTGGCTGGACTGACCGCCACGTATAAGTATAGGATGTCTCCTACGACTGGCCTTGCCAGTGTTGGGAGTTGAGCCAGGTGTTCACGGAGCTGCTGAAAGGCTGACTTTTGTTCGTCTCCCCATTCAATGCCTTTTGAATTTTGGAGCTTCAGCGCCTTGAAGAAAGGGAGCCCTTTGTCTGAGGCTCGTGAGATGAACCTGGACAAGGCAGCCATTCTCCCGGCTAGACGCTGAATATCCCTTTTTGTCTTCGGCTCGGGGAGGTCTAAAGCAGCTTGTACTTTGGCGGGGTTTGCATCAATCCCCCTCTTGCTGACCATGAAGCCGAGGAACTTGCCTGACTTCACGCCGAAGACACATTTCTTCGGATTCAGCTTCATTTTGTATTTTCTGAGGGTGGCGAAGGTTTCGGCTAGGTCCGTGACATGATCTTTTTCTTTTATGCTTTTGACGATTGAGTCGTCAACATAAACCTCCATGTTTCGGCCTTTTTGCTCGGCGAAAACCTGATCAACCAACCTCTGATATGTTGCCCCCGCATTTTTCAATCCGAAGGGCATCATTCTGTAATTGTACAACCCGGAACTTGTTATGAACGCTGTTTTAGCTCGGTCCTCGGGGTGCATGAAGATCTGATGGTATCCCGAGAATGCGTCCATGAAACTGAGCAGAGCATGCCCGCTTGTCGAGTCGACCAGTTGGTCGATCCTCGGCAGCGGATAGGAGTCCTTGGGACATGCCCTATTCAGGTCCGTGAAGTCAACGCACATCCTCCAGTTACCATTTGCCTTCTGAACCATTACAACATTGGCCAGCCACTCCGGATACTGACAGGGTTCAATGAACCCAGCATCTAGGAGCTTATCGACCTCAGCTGCGATGTTCTGGTTCTTTTCGGCGGAGTAGTTCCGCTTTTTCTGCTTAATGGGTCGACTGGAGGGGTCGACATTAAGCCTATGGGAGACGAAGTCCGGATCAATCCCGGGCATTTCTGCGGCTGAGAAGGCGAACACGTCTCCACTGGCCCGTAGGAGTTGGACGAGTGCCGCACGGGTGTTTGGCTCCAGTGACGACCCGATGCTAACACATCTGTTCGGATCTCCTACGGTCAGTTCTATTGACTCGGTCAGGTCATCCGTTTCCATGCTCTTAGAGTTGGATTCCTCGAATTCCGGCCTGCTATCAATATTAGCAGACTTTCCTGACCGCGGCTGGCCATCAGAGTCGTTCGGCTCTGAGGCGGAGTCAGCCTTTTGGCCCCCATCAGATTTCTCGTTGTCTGGGGCTTCATTAGCCGAAACGTCTGAGCCTCTCGGCTTTTTGGCGTTTCGGTCCCGGTGCTTTTCCTCCCCATCGCCACGGTCGCCTCGGCGAGACGTGGATGGCTTGAGGTGATTGCATCGGCGGGCTTCTTTTTTACTGCCCTTTATTTTCTCGGAGCGTCCCTCGTCTGAAACGTATATCATGATTTGATGATACGTGGAGACGACTCCTTGAATGCCGTGAATGAGGGGTCTCCCCATGATCACGTTGTATGCAGATGGAGCATCTACGACCAAAAATTCGGCCATGATATTCCTAGCTGCTCGGCCTTCGCCGATGGTGACAGGAAGTGTAATCTTCCCGTCAGGATACGAGGAAGAGCCGTTGAACCCAGACACCGGGTAGGGTGCGGGGGCCAGGTGCTCGGCTCCCATCCTCAGCTGGTCGAACGCTCCTCGGAAGAGGATGTTCGCCCCGCTACCGCCGTCGACGAGGGTCCGCCAGACGTTGCGGTTGGCGATGCCCAGAATGATTACTAGTGGGTCATCGTGGGGGTATACCACCCCCTCACAGTCTTCGGCTGTGAACAGGATGTTCGGCGCCGGTGACTGGGACTGCCGAAGCTCAGCCTGATGAATCTGATGGGTTAGACCCCTCAGTTGGCGTTTGGCTGTGCCTCGCGAGATTCCCCCGGAAATAACTAGGATGTCGAGGGACTCCTTGCCCTGAGGTCCCTTATCCTTCTTCCGAGCGAAGTTGAGGTCCTGCCGAGAATCTTTTTCAGCTTTTTTCTCCTCGCGCCTGTCCGCGAGGTATTGGCTCAGGTACCCCTTGCGGACCAGATCCTCAATCTGGTCCTTCAGCTGGACGCAGTCCTCGGTGCGATGTCCGGGTGAGTCATGGAACTCGCACCACTGGTCCTTTCCCCTCGTCTGATGCCAGGGAGGCAACGGACGAGGTTTTTTGAATCTCCCCTCGTCCTTCGTCGTGCTGAAAATCTTAGCACGGGGAAGGGAGAGTGGAGTGTATGAATCGTACCTTCCCGTGTAGGGAAAGTGTCTTTCCTTCTTCGGCTCGGCAGCAGAGGACGGTTCTGAGGCCTTAGCCTTCCCTTTCCTCTGCGCCGAGACTTCGGGCTGCTGCCCTTTCGGCTTGTCAATTCTCGGACGAGACTGAGACCTGGATCTGTTCCACTCCTCGGCTCGGATGAACCTATCCGATGCTTCCAAGGCTTCCTCCAGGGTCTGCGGGGGATGCATGACCATGAAGTCCAGGAACTTTCCAGCTTGGAGGCCGTTCCGTAGCGCGAACACGGCCAGGCCTTGATCCAGACTTGTGATTCCGGATGACTCGTTGCTGAAGCGAGTCAGATAGTCGCGGAGGCTCTCGTCCTCCGCCTGCTGCAGACTCATTAGCTCTGCAGTGGTCTTCTCTCGGCGGTTGGCCGTAGAGAATTTGCTCTTGAACTTGTTGGAGAGGTCGTTCCAACCGGTTATGGAGCCTTCCTTGAGCCCTTTGGTGATCCAGGATTGGGCAACACCTTTGAGGGTCGTAGGAAAGTATTTACACCAGGTAGCCTCAGACCTCGGGTTCAGATACATGTGCCCCTCGTAAGAGGCAATGTGATCCTTAGGATCTGAGGTACCATCGTAAGTAATATGTGCCGGGATTTTGACCGTTGGCACATGCTCTTCCAGAATCCACTTCTGGAAGGGCGAGTTCGATGGAACCATGACCGCCTTCCCCTTGTACCCGGCCTCAGGGACCTCGCTCCCTCCTCTCTCAGAGGTGGAAGTGGTTTTCGTCCCCGGCTGAGACAAGGTTGGGTGGGGTCCGGTATCCTCTGGGAAGGTGAGGCGGCTATGCACACTCACCTCCCTCGAACCCAAGCGTTCGTGAACGCTTTGGCGGGCGAATTCCGGGTCCTTGGAGGGCCCCATGGAATTCTGAGCTTCAGAGTGGTCAGAGGGTTGAGGGTTCCTCCTCCTCTCCTTACTGGAGTTTCGGGTGTCCCCTCGCCACCTCTGGCCGAGCTCTCTATGTGGTGGAACTTGTCCACCATCATCCTGACCGATCCTCCTTTTCAGGTTTCTCGGCTGGTGATCATCAGGCATCTGGATTGGAGCCCCTTGAGCTTTAAGGAACTCCATGCAGATGGCCACTGCTCTGGCCACTTCCTCGGTGGAGGGTCCGGAGGGAGGAGTCTCCCGCGGATGTGACCTGGATTGCACGCTATGGCGCGGCGGGGAGTTCCTCGCACCTGAGCCACTCGGTCTCGGGGATGGCCCCGGCTGCCGAGTGTGGTGCGAGGTGTTCTCCTCCTGAAGGCTAGGACCTCTTGAGGCTTCCCTTTCCGGAGAAATGGGGGCCTCCGATTCGGAAGAGGCTTGCTCCGGGGAGGGATAAACCGGCTGGCGTTCCCTCACCGTAATCTGGCCTCCTCCCTTCTTAGCCCTCTTGGAACTCTTTCCACTCTTAGTCATGGCGACTGCCGGAGTGTTTGATGACTGACGCGAAATTTAGTAGCGTTCCCCACAGACGGCGCCAAATTGTTTCGGATGAAAACAATCGAATCTCGGAAGATCCTTTTATCTTGAGGGAACTTGGTCTCGGTCCGAACGACGCAGGAGCCGAGGGTTTCCTGCACAACAAATACACGTAAACTAGCCTCGGGGGGGACGCCGAGGAAGGCCCCTCCGATGCTTAAGTCAGTATATTAGAGAGAGAAAGCTGTGCAAGAGTTTAGTTGCTTGAGGCTTTATTGTCTTACCAAGAATTGACCAAATTGTTGGCTTTTATACCTTGGCTAATGAAGGAGGCGGATTGGGCCCGGAAGTCAGTTGGGCTGGGCCAAGCTGATTGGGCCGTTGACTGACCTTGACATGGCTTTGAGGATGTTGATTTTTGACTTTAGCACATTTGGAGAGTTGAACCTTAACCTTGGGCTTTTAATTGGATCATTCAGTGACCAGGCCCAATTGGACTAAATTGGACCCAAACAATTAATAATAGAGCTGAACTCATACTTTATTATGCTTCAAGCAGGTGAAACTATTGTTTCCCCAGGAGCTAGGCAGGGCTTGATTCCACTTGTTATTCCACTATCAGAAAATTCATCAGGTTATAAGAGTAACAACTGTTCACAATTATGTATCCTCTATCCATTGAATTCTCTGTGTCTCAATGAACTATTGTCTTCAACAGGTACTATAACTGCCTTGCTGCGATGGCCAACAGCTCCACCAGGGTAGGAAATTTTAAAACTTATGTACCCAATTCCTTGAACTTCTTGTACAAGTTCTCATAACCCATTACCAACTGTTTAGCCTTCCAAATCCTACACTGCAGGATGGAGATGCCAGTTGTGGAAGTACACAAACATGGGGTTTGGCTTTTGGCAAAGAATGTAATAAATTATTCTGAAAGCATATGTTCACATGCGTACGTAGACAAGCTCTAGTATCAATATTGAAGGATGATGTAGTCTGTCTAGTATATGCTTTATATGCCTTCCACCGTCTACACAAATTTTTTGCGTTACTCATCGTAATGAGGCCCCATGTTTCACAACATGATGAATGGTTACTTTGCAATCCAGGTAAATCAATATATTCACAGAATACTTGTTGAGGAAGATGCGTTGAACAGGGAAGGTGGTGATGATGTGCTTTTTGCGGCTTCTCTTGAGGCTGGAAAAAAGCTTTATAAAAAGGGTGATATGGCTGAGTCGCAGACTCCTAATCTTGATGTCTATCTTCTTAAAAAGGTAAAAGGAGAAATTTTAAATTTACTTAATAACCTGACTCCTTGAACTTGTTAAATGACACCATTCTTTACTTAGGTCGGGTTGTTTCCAGATGTTTTAGAGAGAAAAGTGATGCGACATTTCGATGATGGTGATCATGTGAGCTTACTTGGATTCTATCCATATTTTTCTGCTGAATATTGCGATTGATCTGTTTTTATAATACTCTTTTTTGTGACCTGAAGGTTTCAGCATTGGTGACTGGAGAATTCTATACGAAGAAAGACCTTTTCCCAGGGTTTGCACGGCCTTATGTTTTCAATTCAAAGATCTTGTTGAAGTATGCATACTTGTACTTTAGTTGTTGATAAGCACATATTTCTAATGTTGAGTAGATAGGGTTCTAGATAGTTTGCTTATGATTTGGAAGTTGTATAACCTTGAACTATTAATTTTCAGGGTTGGGCGCGTTTCAGAAGCTAAAGATGCTGCAAGGGTGGCACTGAAATCACCATGGTGGACTTTAGGTTGTCCATACCTGGTATGCATCCTTTCTTCCCCATTACATTTCCTGCATTTCCAGCTCCTTCCCAAAGTTTTCTTGCAGGTTTGGTTAGCCTGGTGACCTTCTTCCCCCTTCTTAAAAAGAATTAAAATCTTTTAGAATTTCTTGTCACGTTTCGATTGAAAAATCACTACAATTGTGGTAGAATCTTCTGCATCGGAAAATGTAAAGAAAGTTAAGGATGAGGATAATGAAATCACTTTCTGAACCATTTTTTCTTGTTTTGACAAGAGACTTTTTTTACTAGATTTTTTTTTTCTTTTTTTTTTGGCTTGTGATGTCTATTAATGTTGATCAGGAAGTTGCTGATATGGCACACTGGGAAGATGAACAAATTGAATACATCAAGGAGAAGGTGACAGAAGAGGGCAGGCAGGAAGATTTGAAGAAAGGAAAAGAACCAATCCAGGTATAAATGTATGATTGTATAATTATAATTGGTTTTGCTAAATGCAAATCTTTGGTTTGGGGAAGATGACCCCAAAGTTTGATAGGAATTCTAGGCAAGACATCTTAAGCAAACTATTTTTCGAACTTCATGTTCAGGTGGCATTGGATGAAGCCGCTTTTTTGTTGGACTTGGCTTCCATTGAAGGATCTTGGGATGAATGTCTTGGGCGAGTTGCTGAATGCTACAAGGAAGCTGGACTAGATGAAATTGCTAGATTTGTTATGTACAGAGACTGATTATAAAACGAGGTGATGTGCTCCATTTTGTTCTGTCCTGAAATTTGCTCCATTTTCCAGTTTTGATTGCCCTTGAAGTTGATTCAACCAACCTGCCAATTGTAACTTTTTTCCTTGTATATATTACTAAGGAATTCACATTTTGGAACAATGGGAAGAGAGAGTCTTGTATAGAATCATGACAGAAGTACATATTTTTTTTTTTTAATCATATAAAGTATTATTACAACCTTGTAACTTTAAGAATTCATACTGCTTGATTATGTACATGCAACCCCAAACTTTAGTGCCTTTGATCACTAGCTTGCAACAAAAGGCTCCTTACTCAATGTTTTGTAAAAAAATTTAAGAGTAGGGAGAAGGATTCAAGTTCATATACTATACTAAATCACAAGCAAGACATCCCTTTGTTTCTTCAAGGTGCTTGTGTTACGCTGCAATGGAGCAGCTTTTGTTTTGCTGGAGCCTTTCCTCCTCCTCAAGAACAGCTTCCTGATAAAACCAAACCCACCACCCGGCTTCTTACTCGGCACAAGAGCTAATGTGCTCACTTCTTCAAGAGATTGGACCTTTAGCCCAGGAGGAGGAGGCAGAGCTTTGAACTCTGTATCGTTGACACTCTTCTTCTCTGAGTTTTCATAACTTTCTTCTTCTTTAGTTCTTAGATTCTTGAGACCATCTGTTTGATCACCACTGTCCTCCAACATACGATCACGGAGAGTAGAGCGTTGTATGGCTAGGCTCTTGTTATCAATCAATGAGGAATTCTGAATCTTTAATGAAGTAGTATCAGGAGAGGGAAGCTCATCAAATTGTGTTGCATCTGGTGATGGCAATGCCTTGAGTTGCTTGGCCAAATTTTGAATTGTTTCCTGTCATTCACACATATATCAGCCAAAAGTGACAACTAACAAGGCTGGAGGGGGTCTTATTAAACATTTTAAACTTTAGTTATATATGCACATGTCGAGAAAGAGCCAATCTGATAAAGGGGAGCTTGAGTTATGAGATGGACTGCATATGCGTTATCCAACCAATACTCATACTCTGAAGCTTTAGCATATGAAATTATGAAGTATGGAGTACTTACTGTTCTCAGTATCTTCTCTACTTGATTTGTGTCATTCTCTGGAAACTCCTTTTTTGAGAGCCTGAACCTGTAGTCACATGCCCTATAGTCTGATCAATCATACATACATACATACATACATACATACATACATACATACATGCATGTGTTGTGTGTGAGCGTGTGTGTGATCTATATCATGAATTTCCTTAAGTTTTGCTTTCTTTAGGTGTGCAATTTTCAGGCTTTTTCTAGGGGGGGAGAGGGGGGGGGGGGGGGGTGGGCTGTTTCCTCTTACGTTTCTAGCTGAAGCTGAAGCTCAAGGCATGTTGTTTCCAATTCTTCGCAGCAATTATTCTTATCCTCCAACTCCACCTCCAAGGATGATAATTTGTGGAGGATCTCGTTTTGTTTGGCTTTTGCAACAGTAAGCTGTGTATCAAGATCTTCATTAATCAACCTCTCATTTTCTACTTGTTCCTCAGTAAGGCCTTTTGATTCCTTGAGAGATTCTAGCTCCCTTTCTAGACTTTCAATGGTTTGCTTTGATTCTTGAAGTTGGTTTCCTAGAGATATATTTTCTTCAATCACACTTTGAAGCTTCTCCTTCACTTGTCTGTTCTCTTCATGCATTGCTGATTGAATTGCTATCATCTGAGCAAGTGTATCATGACGGTTAAGAGAGCCAACCACCATTCGGTTGTCACTTTTTGATCTGTCAATACTGAAACGTTTCCTTATCTTTTCACTCGCGAATGAACCACCTGTTACATTCTGACCTTTGGTGTCTTCCACTGACATACTGTTGCTTAAAAAGCTTGCAAGAGTTGAACTTTCTGTGGGAGTAGAATCTGAAGATTTCCATGTCAAAAGACCACGAATATCTGAGCTGTGATTATCATTTTTCTGCAGATTATCGTAACCCAAAGCAATCAGAATGTCTTGCAAAAGCTCACCCATATTTCTTTGCGAAACTCGATGTTCTTCCAAGATCACTTTTAAGATCTTATCCAGCCAAGAATCCCCCTGACTAAGCAACCCTTTTTCTTTGTTGCTCATACTATCTACAGAAATTGGAACAAGTTCTTTACTGGTTGACTGTAACTCCTTCCCTGAACCTTGTGTATCCGTGCTTACTATAGCATATTTCTCCATTTCTGGCTCATTCTTGTTTTTCTCTTGTCTAAACTGTTCGAGTTCTGCTAGTAAAGCATTAGCCCATGATTCAGAATCACAAACTTCATCATAATTGCTGAGGCCAAGATCAGATATAGCCAACTGCATCGAGTTTTCAGCTTCTGAAAGCTCATTGAGCTGTGCTTTAAGTTCTGCTACTCTAGATGCCATCTGACCATATTTGACTCTCCAAGACCGAAGTTCACCGTTACTTAAAGCCAGCATCTCTTTCAACATCTTGTTTTCCTCTTCCATGTTGAATGCCCTGTCAATGAGGAAACTTGTTCCCCTGCCAGATTTTTCAGGAGAATCCCCCATCCTCGGATTTGACCTCTTTGTATTCAATGGAGCGATTAGACCTTGAAGCCTTTTTCTAACTAGATTGCGTAACTCCTGGCATTCGGCTTCTAACTTCTTTACTTGCTTTGCATTTTCCAACTCTGATCTACGGCTGTTTTTCCATTCCTCGTTTTGCAATTCCAGCTCTTTCTCCATCATGTGGAACTCATACTTAAGAAGCGTATTCTCTTTCTCAGCTGAATCTAACCTGTCCATCAGCATGCCGAATTCAGCTTCCAGCTCCTCTTTTCCCTTATCAAGATCTTGGACCAACTTCTCTTTGTAGAGAAGGGCCTTCATCAAATTGGCATTTTCAGCTGATAGGTTTACCATCCTTTTGCTAGCTTCGGCTAATTTACCATCCAACTTCCTCTTTTCCTTCTCAAAATCCACCAACACCTTCTGCCCATCTCGGAGAGACTCTATCTCCTGCATGCATTCCTTCAATGCAGCATTGAGATTAGCCAGTTTTTGCTCAGCTGGCTCTCCTTGCTGCAGCGCTTTGTCTAACTCTTGCTTGAAGTATGCTGCCTCTGCTGCTGCCATCTTTTGACCTGTGATACGATACTTATCAAATGGACTTCTATATCCAGACATACACCAGAAAGCAGTAAAACCTCGCTATCTACCTGCTAGTGCTTGTTCTGCTATTCGTGCGTGCATTCTGATTAGTTCATCCTTGGCATTACAGTCACATATGACTGAGGCTGATTTGTCACTAATATTACTCAGACATTTCGCAGGTCCTACTCTCTCTTCACCCTGCAGTCAATATACCAACAAAATCAGAACTAATGCATATACTTATACTAAAGGATATGTTTAGAATGACAAATATAAGCTGCATATACATAATGACTATGTTCAGTCACACTACAATTAACAATCACAAAAATCTAGAATGTCATGAAAATTATCTTTACACTAAAACATTCTGTTGAGCTCAGAATCTAATGACAGTAATATAAAAAAAAAACAGGCGAAATTGCCTTACCTCTTCTACATCTCCTTCCAGAGACAAACTAGCTCTTCCATCATCAACTACCGTCTTTTCCGATGATTTCCTCCGCCAACGCCACGACTTGTTCTCCATGGCTTCTTCCCCCTTCTAATAACACTCAAAGAAGAGCTACTACACTAGTACATTGTCAAAACAACCTGTCACTTTAATTCACAACATTATACCAGCTTCTATAAAAGCACCAAGTTAACTCATTTCACTACATAACCTTTCATAATAATGAAGAAAGACTAATGATGATGAATTGAAACATAAGGAAGTAAATTCATACCTCAACTTAACTAATCATGATTTGGGTTTTTGATTAATAATAATAGCAAACTTATTAAACCACACATGTCATACTATATGATTCAACAAAGACATTATAAAACTATAATATATACACATAATATAAGATAAAGTAACCAAATTTGGTTGATGATTATAGCAGGAAAATGGGAAATCTCACCGACAAGCAAGAAATCAGAGAAGAAGTAATAATGTTGTGGGGAGAAAGGGGCCAATGAAGAAGGTGAGTGGAGAAAAGCACGCATGGGGTCCGTTGAAAAAGCAGAGAAATAACCGGTGATTAAGGAAACAGGCAGTGGAATGACTGTGTTTTTTACTTTTTTGACTACATTATTACATTGGATTCTTCTGTATGTGTGCTACTGATGTACTATCTTTCTCTTACTGTCTGCTAAAGAGTTGAACATGTTACAACTTTAGAAGGTACAAGGTTATGGTGATTAAATTGGGAAAATTAGATAATCTACATATGATATGACCGTTAGATGTATCGATTCAGTTGAGTTTCGAACAATTGTCTCGTTTGTGACTCGTAATGGTTTTATCGATTAAAGTAACTAGCACATGTTACAATTAAAGGTGCGCTTATTGGTGTTTGAGCTTATTCGGCAAAAGTAGTTGTTGTAATAGATGGTAGCTGCTAAATTTGGATGTATCTTTTTTTTGCTAAGTACGATGAATGCATGTGTTGGAAGATGATATTTATTAAGCATGTTTCTTTGATGGTGAGTTTGCTCATTATGGTTAGCCTTTTAAGGCAGTGTTCATAGCTAAAAGTACAATCAAGCATATTAGTGGTGCATATCATAGACTTGTAGGTAGTAAAAATGTAAATAAACAAATTTTGTTTTATTAATACTTCAGTTTTGGATGAGTCATTAAGAATAAAATTTATTCCTTTTGTCATAAAATTCTTCTTATTTGCTTTATACGCAATTTTAAATACTTTGTACATACTTTATTCTCATCCGTCAACTTCACCAATGAACCAACATCAATTATGGCTACTACCCCATGGCCATTAGTGCATCTCACCAATTCATGATCATCGGAAAATACAAGTGTAACCAACATGAAATTTAAGGCCTTTATTCCAACTTAACACTACCACAAACCACCATTAAAGGCAAAGCTTCAACAAATGAACAACCCACCATATATCAAAGTAATTGATCCAGCTAATCTATATTTAATGATTAAAGTTGTTATTTTGAACTATAACATACAATCACTTCTTTATCATATCTTAACAGTTACTCCCTCCGTCCCATAATACTTAGGACGTTGGGATGGACACGTAGTTTAAGAAAATTACAAATGAGTCCATTTAAAATATTTTTTTATTGTAAAAGATTCTCTTTTGTATTTTTATATAGTAAGAAAACAACAAAGTGGGGTGGGATAGACGAAATAAAAACTATGTCAAGTATTATGGGACGGATGGAGTACTTATTTACTATAATTGACATGTTACATCACTTACATGCATGTATGAAAACATAACTAATTAGTTAGTACAATAATAATGAAAAGAACATACCTTGTTATGTCTTATTTTAGGTGTTGATCTTCATTCTTCTTCCTCCTTCATTTGGTCCAATTCCTTCTTTTATTTTCTTGTTTTGGTTTAAGTATTTTCCATCTTTTCAAAATCTGTTTTTATAGTTCAATCATGTAGTTTATACTCTTTTCGTTTGTGATTGTCATTCATTGTTAGTTAAATGAAGTATAAAAGGGATGATCTAGAATTTGGTTATTGTGTCTTTGTCTCTTGATTGGATTAACACTCCCCTGCCTAAGCAAAGCTGCCACATACTAAGTTCTAGTTGGTGGACTCTAAGTCCTCCAGGTGGCCACTTATTGTAAATGAAAATGTTCTTTTTATGAGGTTTGACAATTGACATAATCTCATATTATGTACCTAAATTCTCACCTTAACATCGTTATATTTTCGCCGCAATGTTGGTATGTCATCCGCTTTTTTTAAAAAAAATAAAAAATAAAAAAATAAAATGTCTTTCAAATTATGTCTTGTTTTTTTCACCTATAAAAATACCAAAAATAAATTTTAATCAATAAAAATTTGGTTTTAATAACTTAAATTCAGTTTTGATCCATACAAATATTTTCCTGGTTAAAAATCATAACATATTGTATTCACACAATTAACACAAGATACATGAGAATAATCGACTCCATCAACTCTTCATCCACACACATTTATTTCCCAACCTTAATCTTTACACACATCTCAATCCAAATAGCATAGTACCTTATATGTCCGCTTTAGAAGTACTCTGAGTTACTTTTCATTTTTTGACAAGAGGATTACTCTGAGTTACTTAAATTATTCTCCTACTAATATATTTGCCAATATATAATTTTAACTATTATTAAATCATTTAACTGCTCCGTATATTGCATAATCATATGCTACGAAATTCTACTGTAAACATTAACATAATGCACACCATACTAACGTGCTCAAAAGCGTACAAAACAGAGAAAATACAGCAGTACCTACACCCAAATTAAACAACTACTCGTAGAAACAACGTGTAGAAGTATTTATTTCTTTATACAAATTGTCATTATCATCGCAAAGTACGTGGTTGGTTCAGTTACAATTGAGGGGCATAAACGACATTTCACCATTCATCACAATTCACAATAATAAGTCGGTGTTTTTTTTCTCCATCAGATAATCAGATATTCTTATCCACCCTAACTTCTCTATATTACCGCCTTTACCGGTCACCTAAACTACAAAACTCAGGGACAAAACCGGCAATTTCTCTCCCAAAATATTCTCTCTCCTCTAATCATCACCTCTTTTCCCCCTTTTCCCCAAAAATTCATCCGATTCATCTTTTGTCGGAACCCTAGATTTTCTCTCTCTTCAATGGAGATTTCTCCGGCGACGTCGGCATCAGCCTCGTACGATTCTCAGATCCGAAGTTCGAATTCCGAAGATGCGTCGTCGAATGAGTTGACGGATTCGAATGATGTTTCAATCGAAGAAGAAAGAGACGGTAGTTTTACGGCGGCGCCGGAGAATTCTTCGGCGTCGTCTTCTCCGCCGTTTTCGGTTGCTGTGAATAAATCGTACGATGATGATGACGAAGAAGAAGACGTTTGTCGGATTTGTCGAAATCCAGGTGATGCGGATAATCCGTTGAGGTATCCGTGTGCTTGTAGCGGAAGTATTAAGTTTGTTCATCAGGATTGTCTTCTTCAGTGGCTTAATCATAGTAATGCTCGTCAGTGCGAGGTTTCAGCTCTTTCTCTTCTTTTTCAATTATTCTCTGATTTTTTTTTATCATTTTTAACTTTATTGATTATTTATGGAGAATTCGTGGAGAAATTGATCAAATTTTGTGGTGTTTGTTGCTTCTTTGAGTTTAGAAATGTTGATTCTCTCTGGCAATTGGGGCAAGATTTAATCTTGTAATTATTGTAGAATTGTCTAATATATATTGACAGTGAGAAAATTAGGATTTAGTAGGCTTTACCAATTTTTGATGAGGGGGAGGGGAAGTGGTAGCAATTGATCATGTGTAAGTAATTTGAATTTAGCACTTTAGAATTAGGGTTTTTCATGAGAGGTGATCACATCCTTTTTATGCCTTTTTTTTTTTTTTTTTTTTTTGAATGGTATTCACAGTTTCACACTATGATGATGGTCAAGGAGTTCAGGTGTCGTAAGTTGAATTTAATGGTGAAGTTGTGGTGATTGTCAATCATGCTGCTGCAATGAAGCTGACTAGTCTGTGAGGGTCTTGTACCATTTTCATGATGCGGCATTTTCCGCTACCATATACAGTCATCTTTATAGAGAGTACTTAATCTGTTTAAGCAATTGCTTTAAATAACAACTACAAACATTATACATTATATGTCATTTTTTGAGGTGAGGTCTAGAGAGATCTAATTGTATGCAGCCTTAGCTCAAGTAGTCCAAAAGTACTCCGTATTAGAGATACCAATTTGCTTCAATGTTCATGAATTTGGTTCTTGTGGTACTATATTATAAACCTATCTTTTCGTAGTAATTAGCTTCTGAAACTTAATTGTTGAAACGCATGTAGTTTTCATTCTCTTTTAGCCTATAGAACTTAAATCTGCGATATGTGTTATTTTTGGTTTATCTGATGGCAATGCCTCGAATGTTTGCAGGTGTGCAAGCATGCATTTGCATTTTCCCCTGTTTATGCTGAGAACGCTCCAACTAGACTTCCTTTCCGGGAGTTTGTTCTTGGGATAGGGAAGAAGACCTGTCATGTTCTGAAATTCTTCTTACGTCTTGGTTTTGTGCTATCTGTTTGGCTTCTGATTATCCCTTTCATCACTTTCTGGATTTGGCGACTGGCTTTTGTTCGTAGTTTTTCTGAAGCCAATCGTTTATTCCTCAGTCATATGTCATTTACCGTTATTCTTACCGATTGTCTGCATGGGTTTCTTCTTTCGGCAAGCATTGTGTTTATATTTCTTGGGGCTACATCTTTGAGAGATTATTTTAGACATGTACGAGAAGCTCAAGGACAAGATGCTGATAGAGAGGATGAAGGGGATAGGAATGGGGCCAGAGCTGTGAGGAGGCCTCTTGGACAGGTCAATAGAAATTTGCTTGCTGATGGTAATGTGGATGATGTTGGTGAAGCAGCTCAAGTAATTGCTGGAGCTAATCAATTGATCAGACGGGCAGAAAATGTCGCTGCTCAATGGGAGAGGCAGGCTGCTCGGCTTGAAGTTCATGTTGATCAGATTTTTGATGGGCTGGATGATGCAGATGGTGCAGAAGATGTTCCCTTTGATGAGCTTGTGGGAATGCAGGGTCCTGTTTTCCATCTGGTTGAGAATGCTTTTACTGTGAGTATCCACTTTTTTTTTTTTTGCAAAATTTTTTTCACTCTTGCCTCAAATTCTCATATGCACCCAGAACCGAAATGGAAATAAACAAATTTGGCATTATATAGTAGAGTTAGAGGTAGAATTGCTGACATTGATTCTACTTACCCTTTTGAGCAAGATGTATTTGATTGAGTATTGTTCTATATGACTCTGGATTGTAGACTCTTTGAGACATGTCATTTAGGACATTTTATGGGGAAGTACTGTGAGTCATGATCTGTGAAGGACTTTCTGTTGAATTTCTTTCTGGTTCATGATATCTCTAGATGTTTAAGGATCTTGATGGTCTTAAATATTTTCAGGCTTATTTACTGTTAAAACCTAAAACATCTCAGAATATATGATTGTCTGTATGATGTGCTCATTCAAGTGTTTGTTTTATGGAGTTTCATACACTGATCTTAATATACTACCCAAAAATACCAGCTCAAGAATATTTATATTGTTTTTTGACTGGTTGTAATTGTAGTTTTTTTAAATAAAAGACAGTTGCTATCTTGCTGTTATCTTTGGTGTCAGAGCATGTTAGCATTACCCAGATAGAGATAGACTGATAGAGCATAATCTTTACTTTGTTAGGTAAAACATTAATTACAGTACTTATATCTCTATGTTATGTAACTTAACATTTAACTATTTTTTTGAAACCTTTAAGTTGGTTGGGAAATTTCGTAGAATTATTTTGTGTAAATATGAGCTATATTTCAATATTTGATCTGTTTGACATGGATGGGTACACATGCAGCATATTTGAAGTTTAGTTCAGGGACTTA